AGAGGGCTCTAGACAAATTAAAGGATTGGGCCAAAAGAAATCTGATGAGGTTCAACAAGGACAAGTGCAGAGTCCTGCACTTAGGACGGAAGAATCCCATGCACCGCTACAGACTAGGGACCGAATGGCTCGGCAGCAGTTCTGCAGAAAAGGACATAGGGGTTACAATGGACGAAAAGCTGAACATGAGTCAACAGTGTGCTGTTGTTGCCAAGAAGGCCAACGGCATTTTAGGATGTATAAGTAGGGGCATTGCCAGCAGATCGAGGGACGTGATCGTTCCACTCTATTTGACATTGGTGAGGCCTCATCTGGAGTACTGTGTCCAGTTTTGGGCCCCACACTACAAGAAGGATTTTTTAAAAATTGGAAAGAGTCCAGCAGCGGGCAACAAAAATGATTAGGGGACTGGAACACATGACTTATGAGGAGAGGCTGAGGGAACTGGGATTGTTTAGTCTGCGGAAGAGAAGAATGAGGGGGGATTTGATAGCTGCTTTCAACTACCTGAAAGGGGGTTCCAAAGAGGATGGATCTAGACTGTTCTTAGTGGTAGCGGATGACAGAATGAGGAGTAATATTCTTAGGTAAGTTGCAGTGGGGGAGGTTTAGGTTGGATATTAGGAAAAACTTTTTCACTAGGAGGGTGGTGAAACACTGGAATGTGTTATCTAGGGAGGTGGTGAAATCTCCTTCCTTAGAAGTTTTTAAGGTGAGGCTTGACAAAGCCCTGGCTGGGATGATTTAATTGGGGATTGGTCCTGCTTTAAGCAGGGGGTTGGACTAGATGACCTCCTGAGGTCCCTTCCAACCCTGATATTCTATGATTCTAAAAGGAATCTCAAGAAATTAATTTTATATTTAGCACAGGGCTTGGAGAGTAAGTTAGGCATGGCACCACACAGAGAGACGATAAGCAATATCAAACTACCCAATTCAATGAGCACTGTCAGTCCTGCGTGCTGCATGACGTAAGAGTCTTGTGGAAAAACATAGTATATGATCATGTAAAGACAGATTATTATAATTCATAAGAGTGGGGGCAAATTAAGATTGCACAGGCAACCTAAAGTCTACCATTTTTTAAGTTTTGAGTGCTTGACTTTGCAACAGTAATGTTGCACTACACTATATATGGTGTTTTTTAATACAGGCTCCTTGATTTCATTGGGCTTTGGATCAGACTTCACATTAGCACTATTTGTCGATCATCAGATTCATTAGTGGGACTGCCTCGCCCAGGAGATAGATTATGGGTAATAATGTCTTTCCCCTCTACTCTCAATTCTATTCAACCTATTAGGCATGGAAACCCATCACCATCTGAGGGCGGTTTGATAGCCTGGTCCATTAAGTTGGCAGGCATCCAGATCACAAAAGCCACCAGAGTTGCTGTTATTTTGTAACATTCTGGGCAATTTTGCGGGGGGTGGGAGGGACAGGACAGAGAAGCCAACTCCTACCCCCCTCCCAAATAAAACCCCCATAATGGGTCATGAAGACTGAATTATGTTTTTGTCCCTACAGGCAATGCCTGCGGAGGATCAGAGTTATATTCCATTGATCCATTCAGAGGGGAGAAACTTGAACTGCTACTGATTGTGACATCCCTATTTTACAGAGAGAAAATTTCTAACTCATGAATTAGGTCCAATGTTCATCACCAGCACTAAATGCTAATTAAGTGAAAAGAGTCTTTTCAAGCAATCAGAATATTTCCTACCAGAATAGCCACGTGGATCACAGCACAGGAGCCAAATCCCATTTTAAAGATAAATCACTGCTTATTATTGACAAAATTTAGACTAAAAATATTAATTTAGCTCACTGGGCATTTTACAAAGTGACAGAAGTGGCCAAAGTCAGCACTGGAATAAACCGTTTTGTCAGGGCTAAATTTAGCTTCATGTTTTATGGCAATTTCTCCACCTGATCAATGAGTACTTTGTCCTTCATCATTCATCCCTTTGAATCCCACTAGCATGTATCCTACTTGGTTTGTATTTTGGTTTTTTTTCCCTTTGAGACAGGTTTTTAAATCTAGGAAGCATTGCTTGAAGTTCTACAAATAACCAAGTATAGTAGAGCTCATCCAGTTTGGAAATTCAGCTTGAATACTGTAGTTACTTCACTAACACATGCTTCGAGGTGTAAGAGCAAAGCAGTAAACAATAAACCACAGATGCTGAACTAACTGCTAAGGCGGACTAAAAACCACAAGACTGGGGTTTCAGTTTAACTCCACGTTTGCCGGACATGATCAGAGACCCTCTATGGTACACAGGACCAAAAAAAGATTAAAAATACACTGCTACCCCATGGGAAATTTTCAAACATTTCTCACACACAATTCTGTCAACACATTTTAGGAGATTCTCTTTTTATTACCAGGATATTAGCCTGACTTTTTCTCTTGTTTTGTCTCCAACTTCATATTCGCCACATGAGGCCCTGATCCTTTCCGCAGCTACCAAGAGTGACAATGCAGGCAGACCATGAGTAGGAGCTCACCATCTACTACAATTATGAAGAGTCAGAAAATATAAGAGCAATAGCATTGGAACAATGTGTATAGTGGGGGTGCTGAGAGCCATTGAACCAAACTGTAAACCCTGTATGTGACAGAAACCACTTCAAGCCAGGGCAAGCTGCTGCACCTCCAGCACCCCTAGTTCCAGCACCTTCCATTATGGAAGCACTCCAGATTCCAACATGCATTATTATAAATGCAGCACCATAGGGGTTCGTTGAGCCAGAAACCTGTCACAATTTGCCTATAAATGGCAAAGAGTTTACAGTCCAAGCCAGACAACATAGAAAAAGATAACAAAAGGCAGGGAAATGCTGCAAGAGGACAATGCTTATATACAACCATACAATAACAAAGGCTCATGCTATATGGCTCAGGAAGTATTTCTGCAGCTAGTTGGTTTCTCTCACCGTGCCTTTTATTTTTAAAGTGAGTTTACTTTGTGACCAGAGTGAAGGCTGTTACAGAACAGCAGCTTCATGGCTCAGATGTGCACCATTTTAGCTTTTGGTTTGGTCAGTTTAGATTTAGCAGCATGGAAAAGCTGAACATTCAGCTTCCCAGGGAGATTTTTAGGAAGGGGCAGGGCTGACCTTACCATGAGGTGAACTGACGCGGCCGCCTCAGGTGCCAGACTGTGGTGGGGCGCCACTAGGACCCAGAGTTTCAAAGTTTTGGCCCAAGTGAGGGGGTATGGGGGTGTCATTTGAGCTCCCTGCCTCAGGTGCCAAAATGTTGTGGGCCAGCCCTAGGAAGGGGCCCCACACTGAGGCAATTTTTGGTACAATTTTCCATGCTGAGGACTGGAGTAAAACTTAACTGTGGCACAGGGCTTTGTGTGGGCATGGGCCCCTCTGATCTGGGGTGAATTTCATAGTGAGTAGCTATTCAACATATCTTTATATTAATGCGCATCTATCTCCCCTGCTACATAGCTACTGTCTAAGCAACTTTGTGTACTGTTTTGAGCTGGACCAAGATAAGTTAGAGCTCCTGAGTCATAGAATCATAGATTAAGTCCAGAAGGGACCACCAGAGTATGTAGGTGTGGAATAGGACTACTAGAACATTTATTGTACAATAAACTGGAGAGACTCATCTCATTTGTTGCTTCAGCACTTGACTCAACAGCACTTAATTGGCATGACAGGTATACAAGGGTGGCCAGAGCATAAAGGATGGAATTCAAGAATCTGTCAGAGGGACCATAGATCAGCAGCGCAGAGTGTGGTTAAAGAGACAAACACCCTCACCACCAATAATGCACTCCAGTAACCATTTCCAGGTGAAAATTACAGACAGAACCAGTCTATAAATGTTTACTTTCACACCCTGACTCAGATTCTGAAAGCTATGGTCCTCAGTTTCCTCATCTGTAAAGTGGGGACATTGATACTTGCCTCCATTTGTAAAACACTTTGAGATCTACTGATGAAGAGCACTGCATAAGAACTAGGCATTATTATTTTAAGAGAAAAAGTATGGCAAAGAAAGAGTCAGGTTACATTTGTACATCACATTGTCTCCAATTCCATGGACATACATATCGTACCGGCTTTGGGTACTTTATTTTCAAGTGCCAAGCCCTCTAGTCTAGGGTAATTCCATACATCTGAATTTTAATTAGAGGAAGTTACTTTCAAGAAATAACAAATCTCTAAAATAATAAAGTTTGGTTAATTAAAACCCTGCACATACGATCCTCCTCCTCTTATTCAAGTTAATTTATCAATGTTATTTCTTTTGGAACATCCAGTGTTCTCTATCACAGTCTTTAAAATAGCTCCATTAACAAGTGAAATCTGTTAGACTGTGGAATAGCCTTGAAAGAAGTGGAAGAATCCCCATCCCTTGTGTCATATAAAGTTCAATAGAACATAGTACTCGGGTATGTACCATACAACACAATGCTTTATTGACAGAAGGATGGAGAAAGTTACCTAATAGGTGTTTACCAACTCTGGTAGGATTTATGAACCAACAGAACAAAATTTATGGTTTTGTCATACATTAGTTCCACACTTATCATTTACCTTCCTGTTTACTGATTAACTGTTCTTAACATATTTTGTCTGGTAGTTCAAAAATGGTTAAGACAAAGTTTGAATTCTGGTTTCCAGTTTTGTGTCCACAACCAAGTAGGAGTTCAATTCTGTGGGCACAAAACAACAAGTCTGATTTGCAGGTGCAACTAGCTAAATCAATGTCTAAAGGAAATACTTAGTCTCCATGAAATTGCAAGATGGTTTTATAACTGTTTTGCTCTTACAGTAATTGCAGAAACAGGCTTGTCTCATTTCTGTTTTTTGTAGGTGTTCATTACAGTCCTTTCCCCCAATAAAAACACGGTCTAGTTTTAAGTTTCCTGTTGTGGTTAACACATTCCACCCCTCCAAAGAGCCCAGCATGAATGATTGTAAATCTTATTTGTGTTATTGTATTTCTAGCAGAGTCAAAGAGGGGAAAAAAAGTCAGTTTTATTTAAGTCATAGTTTAAAGTGAGCCTTCAATTTGAACTTGGAACAGAAAAGCAATGCATTCTCCTGTCATAGCTGGTTTATTTTACTTTCTCCTAATTAAGGCTTGGAAGAGCTTAACTGTCCAGTGTGAAGGTATGGTCATAATATATTAGATATATTTCTTTAGCTACTAATACTGTTCTAATTTTGGAGGGGACGTTTAGTTTATTTCATCATCACTATGTTGGTCTTAAATAAGGCTGAAATCCTGGTCCCATTAAAGTCAATGGGCACGTCGGTGTGGATTTCAGTGAAGCCAGGATTTCATGTCAAGTGTTTTTCTCCTATAGAAATGTATAGTCATGAAACTAAAAGTATTTCATTAAAATCAAAAGGCAGATTTTCAGGATCCTTTGTGCTATAAAATGATAGACAGACAGACAGACAGACAGACAGACAGACAATCTCTTTTAAACTTAATTTTATAGTCACTTATATTAGGCATAAGTTCTTGGTTGTGGCCAAGTGGTAATATTACAGACTGGCTTGGATACATTTGCTGATGACAGACTTCACCTTTGTTTCAAAATAATGCCAAAACTCAATGACATTTCTAAAAAGGAGGCATAGTAATGTTCTGTTATTGTGAATTTTTTAAAAAAAAAAACAACTTTGTTGCAGTCACAATATTTGGCAAACATTAAATGGAGCAATCCTTTTATCGTTTTTTTACGGTGGGGAAAAATTAGCACAGAGGATGCGTGATTTGCCTCAGATCACACAGCAAGGCTCTGGCAGAACTAGAAATAAAGCCCCAAATCTCCTCATTCAGAAATGTACGTTTGGACTGCCCTTCTCTTTCACTAACACAGAAAAGGTGGTTTATTTTGGAATACTTTCTCCATAAAAGAGGATGTGATGAGAGCAACTGTATGTTTACAGTAGCATAGCAACGAAGAATCAGGGAGGTCTGTGGGTTTTGCCACTGAAATATCCATTTACATTCAATTAGCCGTTTTTAGGAGGGTGAGGAATGAAATGTTTGAGACCTCCTAGTCAGAACTTTATTTTGTATACATTGATTTAGAATGTTTCTCCTGTGCTTTGCTATGAAAAAAAAATTAAGTCCACAATAGCAAACAAGATTCAAACAAAGAAATGTAAATCTTTGCTTTGTAATCTCTTTATCATTGCAATATTTGAGTGTAAGAATTAACTAATTTTAGATTGCATTGTTCTATTCTGTACATAAACCCTGTTCTGTCCGTTAAGAATAACGCATGAATACAAGGTCTAGGAAGAATGGTTATTATGAACAGCACTGTATTGGTAACAGAAAGACAAGGTGGGTGAGGTAAGATCTTTTACTGAACCAACTTTTGTTGGTGACAGAGACAAGCTTTCAAGCTCCACAGAGCTCTTCTTTGGGTCTGGGAAAGGTACTCAGAGCATCACAGATAAATAAAAGGTGGAACAGAGCGTTTAGTGGAAGTAGTTGACACATACTCTAAGGGACCATTCACACTCCTGTAGTCATAGGACAAAAAAAGAAGGGTTGGTGGGTTACAATAAGCCATAAATCCAGTGTGTTTATGAAGACCATGATTTTTAGTGTCTAGCAAAGTTATGAATTTAAACTCCCAGGCTCATCTACTGAAGGCAGTATGCAGGTTTTCTTTGAGGATGGGGATTGAGAAGTCAGATATGGAGCGATTGTTTTGTGTAAAGCATCTGCATGCAGGCAACATGGTGTTTTCTTCTTCTATCACATTTCTGTGTGAAGTCATTCAAGAAACCAGACAATCACTATGTTCAATCATGGTTTTTACTGGGGCATTTAGAGTGCACTAGATGAGGTACATCACATGTTGTGATAGGCATGGCATGGATCTTGCAAGGTGTGTTGTGGGGGATATTGATCAGCATAGCAGGGGAGATACATCTGCAGATTTTGTATCAGTGGTTCTGGCAGGGTCTGGTGCTGCTTTGAGCTGGCTCCTGGTCTCTGGGGAGTGTGTTGCTGCTGCTGAGTTGGCAAGGTTGACGGTGTTCTGAGGCCAGAAGAGGGGGTTTAGGAAAGATTTCTTTCAGGATGTGGTCCCTATCGAGTATGGGTTGTAACTATTTGATGATACCCCGTATGGGTTCCAGTGTGGGGTGGCAGGTGACAACTAGGGGTGTTCAGTCAGAGTGTTTTTTTCCTGTATTGATACAGGTGTGCTGGGGGTATTTGGGTGTCCTGTTCCATGATGTGATCTACTTCTCGGAGGGGAACATCCTTGTTTGGTGAAGGTGATTTTAAGTGTTAAGAAATGGATCCCGGACTTTCTCCTTGTGTGGTATCTGAGGACCTGGCTGTAGATAACAGATTTCTTGGAGTGTTTGGGGAGGTTACTGGATCTGTGAAAGTAGGTGTGGTGATCTGTGGGTATCTCGTATATAGTTGTCTGAAGGGTTCTATTATTGAAGCTGATTCTGGTGTGGGAGTATACTAGAGAGAGTTTGATGGATGGATGCTGATGGTTGAAGATGTGGTGGAAATCTATGTGGGAGTTTAGGTGGTCCGTTCCAAGGATGAAAATATCCATGTATATCATTGGTTTTGTGGTGCATTGGTCCAGAAATTCTTCCTCAAGATGGCCCTTGAAGAGGTTGGCATATTAGATAGCCATCCATTACCCATAGCTGTTACCAGTACTTCAGTGTCAACCATGGGAACTGGCATGGATAAACCCAATATATAAACATATGAAGTTTCTAAATCAGAAAGCAAGAATGAATAACCAATCTTCCAATTATTATTTTGTAGAGCCAAAATGTTTAGTTCGTGGCTACTCACCTTAGGCTAATTCCTGAGCACCTGGCCCTTATCCTGCAAAGCATTTAAGCACATTCTTAACTTTAAGCATATAAGTAGCCTTTTCAGCTCAGTGGCACTGAATGTGTGTTTAATTTTAAACATGTACTTAAGTGCTTCGTGGGGTCGGGCTGGTGTGCTCAGCACCTTGCAGAATTAAATCTTGTGTGTTAATTCATACAAAGTCTGATTCTACAGACCTTCCACTGAAGTTTATGGTAATTTTAAGTATCTAGGGACACTAGAGGCCAAGCCTTTGAAGTATAAACGTTTTTCTATGGAAATTGCATCAACAAGTTAAAAATGATACATTCTAAGAGAAGCTGTTTAAAATTCTAGGAGGTACATTTAAAAAACCACTCTAAAATTTAAAGAAAGGATTCCAGCCAAAAAAATAGTTTTGACCAGTAGCTAAAGTTGTCCTTTTCACTTGATTTTCTACTGTATTTTTTGCTGATCTTTGGAGAGCCAACATAACCAGATATCTTCCTGTACTGGACAGATTAGACAACCAATAGCAGTCTTTGGGAAGAGCGCCCATCTGGAAGCTTACAGCTGTGACAGACTGTCAGGGTTCCTTCCCCACTCTGAACTCTAGGGTACAGATGTGCGGACCCGCATGAAAGACCCCCAAGCTTATTTCTATGAGCTTAGGTTAAAACTTCCCCAAGGCACAAATACTTTGCCCTTGGAGGGTACGCTGCCACCGCCAAGTGATTTAACAAAGAATCAGGGAAAGGACCATTTGGATTCCTATTCCCCCAAAATATCCCCCCCAAGTCCTTATACCCCCTTTCCTGGGGAGGCTTGAGAATAATATCCTAACCAATTGGTTACAAAGTGATCACAGACCCAAACCCTTGGTCTTAGGACAATAGAAAAATCAGTCAGGTTCTTAAAAGAAGGATTTTATTTAAAAAAAAAGGTAAAAATCACCTCTGTAAAATCAGGATGGAAAATAACTTTACAGGGTAACAAAAGATTCAAAAACAGAGCAGAACTTCCTCTAGGCTTAGTTTCAAAGTTACAAAAAACAATAATAAAGCTCCCTCCAGCAAAGGAAAAATTCACAAGCAAAACAAAAGATAACATAACATGTCTTGCCTGGCTTTTACTTACAATGTTTGTAATATGAGAGACTTTTAGGATGGTTTATAGGAGAAGGAGTTTTCAGACCTGATGCGTCCCAAGAGAACACGCACAACAAAGCCTTCCCCCCACCCAAGATTTGAAAGTATCTTCTTCCCCCATTGGTTCTTTTGGTCAGGTGCCAACCAGGTTATTTGAGCTTCTTAACCCCTTACAGGTAAGGAGGAATTCTAGGCTACCCTTAGGTGTATGGTTATGACACAGACTTATAAAGGCACCATCACTGTGATAGCTAGGTGCAACTGACGTAGCTGAAACTGGGTCATTGTGAATCCAGAAAGAAATACACCATCCTTCCCAGCAGCTTTAAAAACAAAGGAGATGAACCTGGCCAGTCAGCTACTGTCCATCCTTCTTAGGGCTAGTTAAGATTATTGCTTTGATAGTTAAGTGCCACTAAGACCCTAGGACTTCAGAGTTCGGTCAGTTGAAAAAGCCTGGGCCACAAGATGGACCTTGACACTATAGAGGTGGCCAAGCTTGTGCTTCAGAGTATTTTCACTAGGCACATGGCCCCACTACAAAGAATACCCTGCCTGGAGCTCCACCTAGGCTGGGTCTTCCAAGGCTGCGGTCTAGGGTGCTAGGAGATGAAGACACTGTCTTGAAGGCCCTTCTGAGTTTTCAGACATGCAGAAGGGCATAATTACCTGCCTCACATGTGTGCTGAAAAGAGCAAAGAAAAATAATTGACAGATTCCATCCCAACCTCAATGGCTCATCTATTACACTGCAGGGGAAAAATCCTGGTGTTGGACAAGCTAATCCAACAAGTCTTTCCCCTATCTGCTGCTTTTGTGACTTAGTGCTGTAGCTTCTCTCCAACAATGACAATGCTTGATATAATTCATAGGTTGGTGTGAAACCCCACAACGAACCTGGTTTTGATTTCACAATTTACTTCAGTGGAGTGCTATTTATTGCATTTATTGCACTGGAGTTACTCCCATTTAAACTAGTGTTACTGGAAGTTGAATTGGGCCCAGTGCATCTAATCATGAGGTTCTTACAGTCCTTGTTCACTCAGCCTTATCCAGCAGCAACTTACACCTCACATGAGTCAGAGACTCCACGGCCAGAAGGGAACATTCGGATCCTCTAGTCTGACCTTCCATACAACACAGGCCAGAGAATTTCCCCAAAATAA